TCAGGATCACATCACCAACTAACTAGCAGACATCCTAAACTGGACATCCTGTAGATATTTTAAACATAACATGTGCAAAACAGAACTTATCATCTTTCCCCCAAAACTTGCCCCTTTTCCAAACTTCCCTATTTTTGTTGAAGGCACCAACATCCTCCCAGTTACTGAGGATTAAAGCCTGGATGTCATCCTTGACTCTTTACTTGAACTTAGTCCCCATATCCAACCTGTTGCTAAATCTTGTTTTTTCTACATTCCCAAGATCCCTTGTATTGGTCCCCTTTACTCCCCAGTCATTGCTACCACCTTGGTTTAGGCTCTTATCATCATCTCATGCCTAGTCTATTTTTCCTTTTTTTTTTTTTTTGGCAAGGCAATTGGGGTTAAGTGACTTGCCTAGGGTCACACAGCTAGTAAGTGTCAAGTGTCTGGTCTGAGACTGGATTTGAACTCAGGTCCTCCTGACTCCAAGGCCAGAGCTCTATCCACTGTGTCACCTATGCCTAGTCTATTTTGAGAACTTTCTGATTCTCCCTACTTCAAGTCTCTCTCCATTTGAGTCTATCCTCCAATCAGCTGCCAAAGTAATCTTTCTAAGGTGCAGATGTGATCTTGCCATTTCACTCCACCCCGACTCCATAATATTCAATGGCTCCCTATTACTTCCAGGATTAGATATAGATATAAAGCCCTCTCTTTGGCTTTTAAAGACCTTTGCAACCTGGTTCCTTCCTGTTTTCTATTCTTACACTCTCATCTCTTTATTCAATGATACAGTAACTTTGGCCTTCTTATTTTCCTTATACTAGATACTCTACCTTTTGACACTATGCTTTTTCACTGGCTGCTCCTCTTCCCACCCGTTTTGGAAATGCTCTCTCTTTGTCTCCCAGGCTGCAGTGGCTTCCTTCACTCACTCTACTCAAACCCTACCTTCTGCAAGAGGTTTCTTTCTCCTGCTGCTTCTACTCTCCCTCACTGCTAATGCCTTCCTTCTGAGATTTCCTCTAGTTTACCTTGTATGTATCTTGTATGTATACAAGATTATAGTTGTTTCCATGTGATCTCTTCTATTAGAATGTGAGCTGTCTGAGGGCAGGGACCACTTTTACCTTCTTTGTATCTCCAGTGTTTTGCACAATGCCTCAACATGTATCATTAATACTTCTTGTTGTAAGTGAGATTATGATATTAAATATTAAGGTAACCTGGCCTAGTAAACAGAAAACCAGTCCCAGAGTCAGGAAGACTTGATATGTAACAGCCATGTGATGCTAGACAAATTACTTAACTTCTCACTCCCACTGAGAAACTGTTTTAGCTGCAGAGCTCTTGCCAATCTGCCTTGGTAGAAGTTTCCTCACTGGAAGCTCCCTACACCAGTCCTGCGGATTAGACAAAAAAAAAGTCAGTCAAATGTATTATTCACCTTGCACTATCATGGACGCTGGAGAAAATATTTTAATGTACTTCAGTCTCATCAAAGTGAGTCTTACCTCCATTAATGCAGATCTGAACCCATTATACCCCTTATCTTATGCTATTTAAGTCCATCTCTTTTTGTAAATTTTCTGTAGAGTTGCTATTCAACCTGCTTGAAATCTTCCTCTTAAATTTTTGATGTTCTGTATTTTACTATTCCAGTTTAGGACTCTAGACATGTTCTTAGACCAGCCCTTTTAGTCAGCAGTAATTTTTATTCTTTTGAGATCATAATATTCCACACTTTGCATTTATGTAGCACCATTGGGAAAAGACAGGACGTCACAAAAGTCTTAGTGCTGTTAGCTTTAAGCCATCCTAGCTGGAAAATGCAAAGATTTTTGTTACACTCTTTCTATTTGTTAACTCAGGCACTAGCTCCTACAGACAAAGAACAGCTTGTGGTCTTTGAAAGCGCTGTTTGGGGACAGCTAGGTAGTGCAGTGGATAGACCACCAGCTCTGAAGTCAGGAGGACCTGAGTTCAAATTCAGCCTCAGACCAAACACTTGACACTTACTAGCTGTGTGACCCTGGGCAAGTCACTTAACTCCAATTGTCTAAAAAAACAAAACAAAAAAACCAACCAAGCAGTTGGGGATGTAGGGCTGGACCTCAGCAGAGAGCTTAGAGGGCTGGATATCACTATCTGAGTCATCTTCATTGATGCATACAAATGTTGCACAATTTCATTTTCTTGTCAAAGCTGGAAGGAATTTTAGGGGTTGGACTATATAATCTTTCATTTATAAGTGAGGAAGTTGAGGCAAAGTGTCTTTCACTCCCTGGTTTGCACAGGTAATAATTAGGAAAACAGGAATTAAAATTCAGAGCCTTTGACTCAAATTCCAATATATACTGTCGCCATCATACCATAATTTTGTAAGTGAAACAACAGCAAAAGACGACTGAAACCATCCTGATTGTGACCCTCAATAGGTTCAGGAATAAACACTAAAGATCGAATTCTCTTAGTCACATGGGATTATATGAATATAATCACAAATGACTTTTGGTAGGACAGCCATCAAAATAATTGTTACAGTAAATACACAATTCTTACGGTAATTACTCTTGTGAAATGGAATATCCAAGTAATCTCACTTGACAATTAGAGTGTGATATAACAGCATACTGTGTGCAACAGCAATCCATTATAAAGATGAATTTATTCTTTTATGGGATAAGGACTGATTTACATTTGTGATTCATGAACATGCAAAATCACATCTATACAGAAAAAGAAAATTGACATTTTCCAGGATGAGTTATTTTAGGTGCTTGAGCTCACTACAAATGTGGTTAATTCAAAATTGGTTATAATTGGTTCTCTTAAATAATTTTTAGAGTAGTATTTTCCTTATTTCATGTTTCAGATTGAGATTGAGTTTATTTATGGAATTTATGAATGCAGATTGGTCAACATTTTGGTTACCAAACGGGTGTGTGTTTGTGTGTATTGTAGGTGCCTCTTGTGAACTCCCAGAGTAGTAACAGTTAGGGGTGTGAGCATATTATCCAGGACCAGAGTTACTATGTGGACAGAGATGAGTATTTGGGAAAGTAAATTGGTATATTCTTGGAAAAGGTGGGGTTATGTGTGGGTCAGGAACGATGGGCAGGAAAAAGTATTAGGGGGTGGAGAGAATTGGAAGGAATAAGCATGAGAGAGCTGTGTGTGCATGGACCTGGAGTTGCTTTGCCTGGAAGAGAGAAGAAAAAGAGAAGAGAGAGAGAGAGAGAGAGAGAGAGAGAGAGAGAGAGAGAGAGAGAGAGAGAGAGAGAGAGAGAGAGAGAGAGAGAGAGAGAGGAGGAGGAGGAGGAGGAGGAGGTAGATATTTGGGATAGATGACTTTATTGTCCCAGCCTTTGCCTTCTCCTTTGGACCTTGAACTGGAGTTAGAAAAGAGACTGAAAATGGGATGGAGGCCTTTGGCCTGAAGTCACTCTTGAGTCTGAGGACTCTTTTACTGAGTGGGAATAAGGGGTGCTCATTCTAGATGAGTCACCAACATCAGAAAAGCTCTTATGGAACTCTTGTTTACATAGCAAGGAACATTATGGCTCCACAGAATGTAATAGTAGAGATTGATCTAGAGCTTAAAAAAATCTTATATACAAAAAATAATTCACCTTGGATTTGATTCTTTATGTCAAGAATCTATGGGGGGGAATTTGACGTCTTTTCGATTAGGAATAGCTTTAAAAAAAAGATTACATCTTTGTTAGAACATATCACAAAAACCAAGTTATTTTTGTATCCTTTCAGAATTTAAAGAGATGAAAATTACAAACAAGAGAGAAATATATAGTTATGGATAAATGAAAGATGCCATCTTTGAGGGAAGGTGTACACCAAAGAATTCAGGCTGGAAACGAAACCTTATAAATGAGTCATTATGCATGACTAAATCTTGCCTCACTCTTTGATGCATAAAAAAAGTTATGCTTTTTCTGAATAATTCTGTGCAATAACTATTTTCCTTCTCTTTCAATTAAGGAAGGGTTTGGTTTAAAAAATAGAATTTCAAGGAAAATTATGACTCCTAAATGTGTGCAACACATGTAATATAAATAGAAAGATTGCAAATAAGGATGTTTGCTCATTAACTTGGATTTCATTTCTCCATTTGGCTCTCTTCTCAATTTCCAAATCTCATTACAAGATTTGGAGCTGGAAGAGACCACTGAGATCACAGAATCACAGGTTTAGAATTGGAAATGACTCTAGAGATCACCCAGTTTGACCACCTCATGTTAACGTTGAGGAAAGGTTCAGAAAAGTTAAGTGACTCGTGCAAGGTAACACAACTTGTAAACTAAACACGGGTTCTCGGCTTCCCAGCCTAGCACTTTCAATTCCCTCTTTTCATAGACGAAGAAACTAAGGCACTACGGGTAAAATGACTCACTCACTCGCGGTTATACAGTAATTAGGTGACAGAATCGAAACCAGGTTTCTTGGATTCCATTTCAGTAGTCCTTCCACTACACTTCGCTGCCTCCAAACAGGCACTGGACCTATGACCTTGATTTTGTTAGCAGTGATCCCACTAGCCCTGGACTCTCATTATCCCTCATTAAATAGCCCAGTTGGTCTTCAACCGGAAAGGTCAACCAGGGATGGAGCAATTCTCCACACCCTTCTCAGTCTTTGATCTTGTAAGGGGCGGAAGAGAGAATGGCTATAGGGGAAGGGGAAGCGGAGTGCAACGTAACTGGGAATCTAAACAAATATGAAGAACGTCAATGATGCCGAGTTTTAGCTGCCGCTGCAAACTTCGCGGCAGGTGGGGAAACCAACTGCGGTTTGAGCCGCCAAGGTGAGGACCGGCGAGAGCCCGGCTGAGTGGGAGGGGCTAGAGGGCGGGGGCGGGGGCGGAATCGGAGAACTGGTTTGCTGCGCCGGAAGGGACGGGGGCGGGGTCTGAGACGGGTCCCACTGAATGAGCCCAAGAGGGAAATGGATGGAGTGAAGGGGCGGAGCCTGGGGCTGGAGGATGGGATGGCCGCTCCTCCTCGGCCCTCGCCCCCTCTGCCCCCGCCCCCCGGACGGCGAGAGCTGCCGAGCCGCTGCGCTGGGACTGGGGAACAGGGACGTCCGCCGGCCGCGACGCGGACTGGAGGGACTGGAGGGACTGGGGCTCGGGCTCCGGCTCCGGACTGGTCGGGGGCGGCGGCGGCGGCAGCGGGAGGACGACCGGCGGGAACATGGCGCTTGTGGGCAATGGAGCGGAGCACGAAGCGGACGAGGTACGGGGTCGGCTGGGGGTACGCAACGGGGCGGGAAGACCCGGGAGGCGACCGGCGCGGTCCCCCCGCCGCGCTCCCTGAGCGACGTCGGTGGTTGGGGCCGGGGCCGGGGCCGCGGGAGCCGAGCTTCCCGGGCCGGAGAGGTGGAGGGGGACGCGGCGGCGCGGGGTTGGGGGTGCCGGGACCCCGGAGCGCAGAGAAGAGGAGCCCGAAGCGCCCCGCGGAGGCCGGGGCCACGAGCTGGGGAGCCAGCCCCGGGATTGTTGAGGCCTCGGGCGAGGGTAGCTCCCTCCCGGAGGGCCCCGGAGGTGACCGGGCAGGTGGCCCTGAGGTCCGGTGCGGGCACCAGCGGGGCGGAGCGGCAAGTAGGGTAATAGCCGGGGGAGAAGCTGAAGTGCGAAGAGAGACCGGAGGAGAAGAGGGGGAAGAGAAAAATCTCTACTCTAACCTTTGGGTCATCCGCTATTTGATTCTTCAGAGATTATGAATTGCCAATATTTGCAGTCATGTAGCATCACTAGAGAAATATTTGTGGTTTCTTTTTCTTAAAAGACAGGTTTCTGTGCTGAGCTGCAGTTCGGACTCAATAAAAAGATTACATAGCTTCCTAAAAAAAAAAGAGAAGAGGGGAAGAGGAGAGGAGAAAGAGGAGAGAGGGGAGAGGAGAAGAGACGAGGAGGAAGAGAAGAGGGGAAGAGGAGAGGAGAAAGAGGAGAGAGGGAAGAGAAGGAGGGGGGAAGAGGAGAGGAGAAGAGGGGGAAGAGGAGAGAAGAGGGAGAAGAGAGGAAAGAGGAGAGGATAATAGGGGAAGGAGGAGAGGAGAAGAAGGGGAAGAGGAGAGAAAAGGGGGGAGAGAAGAGGGGGAGGGGAAGAGGAAGAGGAGGAGAAGGGAAGAGGAGAGGAGGAGAAGAGGGGGAAAAAGAGAGGGGAGAAGAGGAGGAAGAGAAAGAGAAAAGGAAAGAATAGGAGGAGAAAGGAGAGGAGAAGGATAGGGGAGAAGAGCTGAAGGAGGAGAAGGAAGGGGTTGGTTCTGGGCTAAATGGGCTGCGGAGCCGAGGCCGCTTTGGGGCTTTGCCTGCGCCTGGCTCTTGTGCGTCTCAGGCAAGGGGGGGGGGGGGCTTGTTTTTCCGTGTTAGGCGATGAGGAAAGGGGAGCATTTGGGGGACAAGAATCCCGAGGGAGGAGAGTCCTGTCTCCCCTTCCTCCCCCTCCCCAAGCTGCAGTCTCTGGGGTCACTTGCCGCCCTGCCCATCTTGCCCTTGGCTTGGGAAGTGCAGTGACAGTGAGTCCCCAGACACACTTGGATGCAGGAGGAGGAGGAGGCAGCGGTGGATGGAGGAACGGAAGGAGGAAAGGAGGAAGGCTGGCTGGAGAGCCGTTCCCACCTCTTCCTTGCTCCTTTATGCCGTCCTCCTTGGCTCAGGAGAAACCTCATGAGTGTGAGGAAAAGGAGGTTTATGGGCTGTCACTTCCTCTTTCGTGCTTCTGTCTGAGCAGTTTCAGGGCCAGCACTCCAGACCTGTTGATTTATTTACTTATTCCTTCTCGCATTTGGCAGTTGAGGGAGAAGGCACAATTCGTAATAAAAGTTGTGATAGACTAAGAAAACCATTTGGATTTTGCACGTTGCTGGGTTAATTTACAGTGATGGAATAACTAAACAGGAGGAAGCAGGTTTGATAATAAACACAGCTTGAAGTTTTATAGTGCTTTAAAGGTTGCAAAACACTTTCGGGCACATCATTTCATTTGAGCTTCGTAACCCTGTGAGGTAGGCAGTACAAGTATTATTAGTTCTATTTTATGAGGATACCTGAGGATATTAATGAGGATACCTGAGACTCAGAATTTAAGCAATTCATAGCTGCATAACTACAAAGTGACAAGAGATGGGGGTTTGGATGGGAAGCTTCCTGATTGCATGTCCAACATTTTATTTACTGTGATATCTTAAGCCTTGTTTAATTTTGAATCTCATATTTAGGCTTATTGGGCCTAAATGTTGAACATGCAAAGAATTAGATGAGTTGGGGGAGAAATCTCCACTATCTCTTTTCTGTTTCCCTGAATAAAAATTGCCAGCAAAACAGAGGAAATAACCTAGAAAATGTCTTCCATAATAGTAAGGGCTTAATAAATAGTTGTTGATTGATTGATTGATTAATAATAATAACTGGCATTTATATATAGCTCATTAAAGTTTGATACTCAGCCCTTGCACCTTTGTCATTCAGTGTCTGACTGTCTGACCCCATTTGGAGTTTTCTTGGCAAAGATATTGGAGTGGTTTGCCATTTCCTTCTCTAGCTCATTTTATAGATGAGGAAATTGAGGCAAACAGGGTTGAGTGACTTGTTCAGGGTCACACAGCTAGTATGTGTCTAAAGGCTAGATTTGGACTCAGGTCTTCCTGACTCTTTCACCTCCTAGCTGCCCTTTCCTTGTACCTAGTAAGCATTTAATAAATGTTTGTTGACTAACTCCTCATAACAGCCCTGTAAGGTGTGTGCTGTTATTATCCTCATTTTGAGGGGTTGGAGAGCTTTCTAGCCTGAACCTACCTTTCAAGAGTATTTTTAATTACATTGCCCAGTAATCTAGGAATGCCAAAATTGTAATCATATAGCCTTGTGATTAATTGAATGTCTTCATTGCTTATGAAACTTGTAAACCACACATAAAGGCAAAAGATGAAACAAATTATTTAAATGGATTCTTTATTGCCATTCAAGTCTGTATTTAGGAATTATGACCTTTTTTATTATTCATAGCTTTTGGGTATCTTTTTGATATGACCTGGGGCTAGCAAGTTCCCTTTATGCCTTGATTAATTTTTCTCTTCAATTAGGGTGGTGACTACTTAACTTCCTCCCTGGGCTACTGTGAGAAATGACATAGTGTTGGAGAGATAGATCCTTGGAAGAAAGATATTTTGGGAAATAGGGAAGAATATATCTTTTTAAATGAGCTTTCATGATCCTTATAACTTGATTTGTTTAACCTCCTCTATCTAGTATCTGAAGAATGGCTTTCTTTTTCTCATTTACTGTGGCCTACTTTCCCATTTCATATTTACAACTTTTTTCTTCATAGGTTGATTTCTTCCAGTGTTTTCTTAAGATATCTACATTATCATTTTCGTTATCTTCCTTCTTTCCATCAGAAAAACATATTGAATACCTAATTACTCCTGGCACTATGTTAGGACAGAGAGAATTACAGAAATTATCCTTGCCTTCTGGAAGTTAGAATCTATGAAAGGCTGAACTAATATATATGACCACATAAAGGAATTACAGACAAAAGAATAAAACAAAATATTGCAAAACAGTGAAAATATTTGAAGTATATGCAGTTCAAGAGCAAATATGTAGGGAGTAAAAGGCTATGTAAGTGCACAATTGCAATGAAGGACAGGGTTAATGACCAGTGGAATCCTAAATCCTTAGAGAAAAAAATGAATTTCCCTAATTCTTACTCATTTAAAGTAATGGGAGTAAGTTTGAGAAGACGTATAAGCAAAATACACAAAGGTCAGAAATTTCATTTTAGTCAAGTTTACATTCATTTTTTTGTCAGTCTTTTTTGCCAGCAGGAAGCTAAAGTAACTTACCTGAGCTTGACCACTTTTTCTTTTCCTTTCCTACTATTTTTGAAGATGCTTCCTTGCGTTTTCACATAACAGTGACTAGACTAGCAGGATGGACTAGAAAGAAGAGAAGGGTCTGGATAATCCATAGACTGAGTTGTCAGTCCTTGAATAACAGCTGATGGTACAAAGTGATTTCAGAAAATCAAGTCTTCTGTGCTTTTAAGATTAGTGTTTCTGAAACTTAAAAGTCAGTGACATTGTTTATGAACATTTCCTCCCTAAGTTCAGGTATCCAGTTTACCCAGCCATCCCTCCATCTATACCAGGGGTTCTTAACATTTTCTGTGTCAGGGACCCCTTTGGCAGTCTGGTAAAGCCCTTTTCTGAAGTGTTTTCAAATAATTGAAGAAAATACTAAACTTCAGTTAGAGGTTAGTGAAAATAAGGATGTAATTTTTTTTTCCCATCTCATTTATGAACTCCCCAAAATCAAGCCATGGATTCTTTGGAGTCTGTGGGCCCCAGTTAAGATATCCGGTTGTCTACTTCACATCTCCCACTGTTTCCTCAACCCCTGCCTTGCCCCAGACATTTCCTCCACAATAATTTTTATCAATGCCTACTTAGTTCCCGCGAGAGGAAACTTTTGTGGCCATGACATTCTAATTTCAAGATGAGCTAAGGCACAGACAGGATCTGTGTTGGGGAAATAGTGTTCTTGGTGAATTTCTAAATTGGGTAACGGAACGGGTAGGTTTAAAAGTAGGGAAGAAGAAGGTGTGTCCTTGAGCACTGCATGACTGCTTCAATGAATTGAATTCAATGAACATTTAAAGAAGCCTCTAACAGTTCTTAAGTGATTGCTATAGAAGTAAAAGAAATAATTTCTCACAACCCCAGTTGCCTCACAGAAAAGGAAATAATTTCTACCCTCAAGTAACTCCTAATTTAGTTGGAGAGAAAAAGATAGGTACGTGAAACATCTAGGGAATAGTTCTAAGGCCATAGAATGGAGACCTGTGCCTGAATAGATTGTTAAGGCCTGTTTGTAGAGAAAGGAGAGCTCTCTCCTTTTGTCCCTCTTGATGGGTCATAGTATATGTGAGTATTAAGGAAAAATTATCATGCTACTGTAAACTTTTGGAAAGGTTTTCAAACTTTTTTTCCCCTAATTACATGTTGTCTTTTTTAATTGGGAAGTTTCTTATTAGGAGAAATGATTTTGGAATTTTCTGATGTGGTACCTGGCTTGAGACAATGGAGTTTATTAAATTTGTCAATACTGGAATGGATAAACTGACATTAGTATTTTTCTTCTAGGTGCTTGGAGTGGAAGTGGGGATTTGGGAAGGTAAAGGGTGAGGAAAGGCCTCTGTGATTCAAGCCAGGCTTTGTTTTAGAAAGTTTA